TTGAGCCTCAATTGACGTTGTCTGACCATCTTTTCCTCGGTCGTCCCAATGATCTCCTTCCATTTGGCGATTTGTCTCTTGCTATTCGTACTATTCAATTTTTTGTCATTCTTTCGAAGTGTTGATTCCATTCCGCTTTTTTCTTTTGGTCCACGCGTTTATTTCCTCTAAACCACATCTCGCTCGTATTTCTTCACTTCTTACTCTTTCTCTTAGAGTTTAGTTTGTAATTTTAATTTAGTTTAACAATAAAAGATGTATGCGTTTACACGTTATAGTTTGCAACTGAATAAGTTAAGGACGGGAGAATTGTTTGTCTCAAGTTGGACATTCAAAATTATGTCTTTAGTTTTTAATTTGCTAATTTCCATAGATTCTACTTTTCATAAAATCTAAAGGTAACTTCAGGGCTTTATTAGAAATATACTTTTTTAGGAATGAAAATACGTAAATAGAACCTGGAATATGCATGTAACGTAATCTTTGATCTCTGAGATAAACCCAACTCCTGAACAATGGCGCCGATATATCTAGTTAAAATTTTGTACACCTATTTTAACCGTTTATTTCCTTATTATCCATATATGAGTTGTGACAGATATTACAAACTCATTTATTTTTCACAAAGAGACTCTACATATATTAACTACATTTATTACTATACAAATCTGATCGAAATATTGTCTAAAAGTAACAGTATGTAAAATTAAAATTTTTAATGAGAAGTAAAAGATTAGCCATATTTTATAGGGTTTAAAGATCCCAAAGACCAAATCGGCCTTTTTAATGCCAACTATCCTAATTATGTCTATAAATATTAGAGAAGGGAATATCCAGAGATAAAGATATGTACTTTACTTTACTTAACTTTATCAGACATATGCGGTTAACACAAATGTGACGTACTTCTAGTGCAGGAAACACATTGAGGGCCAAACATAGGCAAACAAGAAAAGAAAAACTTAAAATGAGAGGGGACAAAACCAGTCAGCTAAGGGAATCTTTCAACGGTGTTGAGCTTGGATCTGCTATCTACGTATATAATGAACAATATTACGGCTCCTGACTAAAGATCTGAGCACAAAACTAATTCTAAAATTTGGATCAAAAATACAACAATGGCTTGTATTGTCCGGGTATGCCTACACAACAGAAGATTTTTCGTATCATTCAATGGTAAAAATAACAAATGGAAAACGTAGAAGAACGGTCTCCTTTGGGGTAGCGTAATGGTACCTACACTGTATAATATTTACACAACTCATACCAGTAAATACTAGGACTTTTATTATGTAGACGATACATCTATATTGTTGCACAACAAAAAACTTTTGTTGCTGAAGTATAGAAAAATCTAAATCATACTTTAAACACAATAAAAATAGACTATGAATCAATTTTAAGCCAAACCTCAGAAAAAGTCAGATGTCCTGCTTTAATGTCCCTAACAGAGATGCTTTTAAAAATCTAAACATCCAATAGTGTCATGAAATTTTTAAACTCTGGACTTGCTATAAATACCTTGAAGATAGTTTGTATCACACTTTGTCATTCATAGAACATTGTTTAAAACTAAAAGGCAAACTGAGGACCAAAAAAATAATCTCTGCAAACTTGTCAGCTAAAAATGAGAAGCATCCTTTCATCCTTAAAACGTAGACGCTTGCACTCTATGCTTCTGCTACCGAATATACCTTGCAAGTATGGATGACACCAACACATATTTAACACGTAGATTTAGCTATAAATTAGACAGCCAAATTCAGCGAATATTAAGACACACACACACATCCATACATAAGCTCTACAATATCGTAGCTATCAATTCACCTAATATCCGAAGATAAGTAGCAAGACTGCTAGAGAATAAAAGATACAAAGTCTAGAATCGCAACATCCACTCAACGAATACCAGCTCAATTTATGACTTAAATCAAGAAAAAACTGACCAAAGATTATTGCAAATTTGACACTAACTCCACGTTTATTGATTACATATTACCCCTAAATAGCAGATAAAACATTTAGAAGTATGTAATATTGGTGAACTGGTACATTCTTCTTATATAAATTAAGCATTCTTCCCTCTTTTGTGCACTACTACCAATTTTCACATAAAAATATCTATTTTTGCACTTAAATATTTATTTTAAGATAACCTATCCACAATTTTATGTAGTACACAGATAAAACCAGAAATAAAATAATAAAGAAGCTGTATACAATATATCGTAAAACAATGGATTAACTAAAAGTTCTTATTAATAGTATTCTTAAATAAAACGTATAAAGACATATTCATGTTAACAAAATACATTAGGAAATATTCGCATATAAAAAAACACGTCCAACTTGGTAATGAAATCCTTTTGTATTTATAAAGCTATTTTTAGAATAGCAGGTACCTACCAAAAACAGGTATTTGGTATTATACATACCTATTTCATATTGTCAATATGATCGCCAACATTCATAACGGATAGGCACATCAAGAAGAAGAAGAAGATTACATATTGTAATGCGTATGAAAAGGAGTCCGTATGAACCGTTTAAAATATATAAAATATATATATCAAGAACGCTGGCCTAAGTGCATAGTTGCCAAACTATCAGAGCTTACTTAAACCGATATACTTATAGTTCCAATATACAGTGAAAAAGATCTGAACGACCCCTATAATATATACACGTGAACTAAGCGAAATACATTTATGATACAGGAGTACTTATGAGCTCCAAAATTTTTTTAAGAATTATGAAACTATACATCTTAACGAATCGACAGAGCCAATATTATGGAATGGACAAGTGAGCTCCGTATATCGGTGTCCACTTGACCACGGAGCTCACTTGAACCTGAATTTTAACATGGGCGGAGTTTACTTTATGCCGTAGATATATATATATATATATATATATATATATATATATATATATATATATATATATATATATATATATATATATATATATATACACTGTGTGTCAGCAAATGGAATAAATTGGCTAATCAATAAATGAGGGAGTATTTGAAAAAACGGCCGAACACGTCGATTAGTATTTACAGTTGCGTATTTTTTTCAATAAAAACTTTTATACGAGGTGTATCAGATATCGGTGGAAAATACAAACTTTCTTATTTTAGAATAGAACAACCTGTATATCAATTAATTTTTAGATTCCTTAGATCATTTTAGACATTTTTTGAATACAATGTTCTATACCTATCTTTGATTGTTTCGGAAATATTACAATGCAAAAAAAAATTCGTAAAATGCAAAAATTCACATTTAGAAAAAAAAATTATTTATTTGTCGAAAGTCGCTACCACCGTCTTAATACTTCTTGCCCATTTAGGCGTTGGTAATCATAAAGTAAGCAAAAACTATTTAATCATTCCTTTTATTGGTATGTTGAAAAAAACAAAAAATTGTTTACTTTGGTTTAAAACGCTGTTTTATTGTTCCATGAAATAGTTGTTAGTGCTATAGTCGTTTGAATTTCATTAACCGCAAGCCAGAAAAATGGTTCATTTAACAGAAATGCACAAAATTACAATTATACAGATGATTGGCCATGGAGATAAGACACGGACGCAAGGGACAATTAGTAAAATAGAGAAACAATTCCACAAGGTGGGCCATGTTAGGAAGGAAGAAAAAAGAAGCTACCAATGCAATAAGTTAGAACACGAAATTGGCTGTTATGCTTAAGTTTAAGGAACACCCACATACATATGTTCGAAAAGAAACCCTAGTACTCGATATTAGCTGTTCATCGGTTATTCGAACATTACAAGAAAACAAAATGCATCCCTATAAAATTATACACACTCAGGAGCTCATGGAAGATGATTTTGACAGGAGAACGTATTTTTGTGAACAAATGATGCCAATGTTAGACAGCAATGTGATCCAATTAGAATATGTTTTGTTTTCTAATGAGTGCACCTTTACTCTTCACAGTCAAGCTAATCGGCAAAATTGCCGCTATTGGTCCAGGGAAAATCCTCACTCGATGAGAGAAGGCAATACTCTGAGAAGGTTAACGTGTGGGCAGGAATTATTGAAAATCAGATCATAGGTCCCTTTTTCATAGATGACAATTTGAATGGCGACAATTATTTAGCATTGCTCCAAAATGTAGTGCCAACGTTGGCCAACTTGTATCCTGATCCAGGAAACCCACAAGATCCAGCGAATATGATATGGTTTCAACAAGATAGAGCACCACCCCACTACCAAATTCATGTTCGGCAGTACCTCAACCAAATATTTCCAAACCGGTGGATAGGGAGGCGAGGATTGATGGAATGGCTACCACGATCCCCCGATTTTACGCTATTAGACTTTTTCTTATGGGGATATGTGAAAGTATTGTATACAAAACTAAACCCACTGACTTATCTAACTTACGAAGACGAATAACGTTTGCGATTAGATCGATCCCATCTGATATGTTGAGTAAAGTTACAAGAAATTTCTATTCACAGTTAGGGTGTTGCCAAGACGTTCGTGGGGAGCATTTTGAACATCTCCTACATTGACATTATTGTTTAGATTTGTATTATTTAGAAGTTTTTGAATATGTTGTAGCGACTTTCGGCAAATAGATAATTTTCTTTTCTAAATGTGATTTTTTGCATTTAACTTGATATTTCCGAAACAATTAAAGATAGGTATAGGACATTGTATTCAAAAAATGTCTAAAATGATCTGAGGAATCTAAAAATTAATTAATATACAGGGTGTTCTATTCTAAAATAAGAAAGTTTGTATTTTCCACCGATATCTGATACACCTCGTATAAAAGTTTGTATGGAAAAAATACTAATCGACGTGTTCGACCGTTTTTTCGAATACTCCCTCATTTATTTATTAGCTAATTTATTCCATTTGGCTGACACACAGTGTATATATATATAACACTAACTAATTGCAGTATCATAATAAACAATAAAAATATGTACGACTTTTTATTTTATTTTTTTTGTGTATTTTATGTATACAGAACATAACCATAAACTAAAACATTGAACTTGTATTCACTTTTGTTACCGATTTTGATAAACAAAAGTTTTCTGGTTTAGCAAAGGCTTGTGCAACAAATCAAAATTACATATGTCCAAACGTAGTCGATCGAGAAAATGGCATCTGATATTAACCAGATAAACAAAGAAATTGAAACGTTACATTTTTTTTTGGACGATTCTTCACTTTTATCATGAACAACATCGCCGACTCAATTGATTCATTCGATGAATAGAGCGAACTACATGAAAACGTTGAACACGTGAAGATCAACAACAGATAATGACTAAAATGTATATAACGTAGAAATACCTATTCTGATTGCTTCGAACCTATGTATGGCAAGACACATACTCATTCCGTGCAATTGAAACTGCTTCTAGATTTTACTGGGTCTATTGGTCTACAAAAGGATATATGGGAAGAAACGACCCCGCTTGATGTATTTTTCCTTCGGGTTGATGATTAAAGTATGATGTTATCATTATCGAAACTAATAGATTGCCACGCAAACCATACAATCCAAAGAGGTTAGACTCCTGCGACACTCTTTAGACGATGTTGTAATCTTCATGCTCACAACACCAGGCTCTGCTGGGAGTGACCATCCATCCCTTGTACGACAAGAATTGACTAGGAACAAACAAAAACCGCAATGAAACTCAATAAGCATTAAAAAGATCGAAGCGAGGAAAATGTTTATATGTCTGGTGAACTATTGCCGAGAGAAACCTTTGTAGGCCCAGAACCAATGTGTGGCATCACTAAAGATGCGGCAAGAAACGAGGTTCAAAAGTAGATGATAAGGAGTCATCAAAAGAAATGAGGAACCACACATGGGCAAATAAAGACTAAAAAAAATAATCAAGAATATTAATAAAAAACTCTCAGACAATTTGATTAACCTCAATAAAAGAGAAATTAAAACGGTCACCGAAGGAGATTCAACGTGTTGCCCTTTAAGAAAAAAACTATGCAAAATAGGTAAGGTGAATGAACCAAGGGACAGAAATTGCAAAGTGTAAAACAAAACTGCCGTACACATCCTGTCATTGGAGTTTAATGGAAAAATATAAGGTATGGTACAAAGGTCATATGACCAAGCGCCAGAGATTTAAGGGTCTCGCCTAAGTTAAGAAGAAGATGAAATAAGGCTACAACTCAAAAACATATATTTAGGTATACACAAAACATCTTTCTTTTATGAACAAAAATTTATCGGATTATTATTTTCCATGGACTCAGTTCATGCAGCAAAAAAAGGCCATTCAAGAAAGGGAGGGTATGCGAAAAATTCAACTGTTCATTGAAATTCTACAAAAAAATTCAATCGCTTCTTTATTCAAATTAAGATATATTTATATAATGAACATTAATATTATGGAGGAATTACCTAACATTTAAGCAAGACATATCATTATTATGATATAGTAATAGCCCTCTTTAGTAATTAGAATTACTAAAGAGGGCTCTAGTGAAACTGAAATGAAGAAACGAACGGGACAAGGTAAGCAATTGACAAAACTAAACTGCGCGCTGTGGAACTAATCCAGCCGTCAGAGAGTTCACTCCTAAAAATCATACGGACAAGCAAAAAAGTTTACCACTTTTACTCCAGAGCTTTCCTCTAAAACCCACCTCGCAGGGAGTAAAAACATGAAAAAATCGATATACCAAGAATCTGTACACCGGAGAAAAAAATGTTTCAAATAAAAAATGTAGCTCAGATAATTTTAAACAAAAATGTTTATAAGCAGTTTTTTGTAGAATGAACCATTCTGTTAGAAACAACGCTTATAGCGACCGTCGATTTTGCATGTCAGTTACGCGCGCGAAATCAATGTTCAATAAAATTTGTATCAGCTGGACGGTAAAAATTCGATATCTTTTGATTCAATTGACTTATCGACAAAAATCAAGATGCGTTTTAAAGGTTATGTGACACAAAAATGCTTTTACATACATGACACGCAATGTTAATTATGGTTAGAGTAAAAGCTGCAAATCTATTAAGCAATAAAAACTGGATTAAGAATATCTGTTTTCATAAGTTTAAATAAGCAATTATTTTATAAAATAATCTTTACATATCAAAACTTGTTGCTTTTATAAACAAGTCCTTTAAGTTAAAAATATATCAGCCTTATTAAATTCTTCACTAAATCTTTTTCATAATTTATCTTTTTATTCTGAAATAAACACTCACATAGTCCACACAAAATAAAAAAAATGTAGCCCATCTTGACTTACGGCTGTGGCTAAATATTTCATAGAAACATAATTTAGCGTTAGGTAAGTGTCATTTCAACCGTTCTTGTAAAAAAATAGTACACATTTTATGGTGGAATAATTACATAGAAAAATTATTATAAATACCTTTCAGAATTGTATCTTACAACTCAGTGTTAAGATTTTCTAACAATTGGTTAATTAAGTTAACTTAAAACGAAATGAGAAAAAGAGCTCGATGACTCATGTTTATATTTTGTGTGAACTTGATAATTGAGTAATCCAATAATATGTGATAATATATAGTACAAAAAATAAATTAAACATACATTATAAAAAATTAAAAAACATAACAAACATTATTTTAAAACTAATTTACAAATACACAAAGAATATTTTTCAAAAAATTTATGTCTGCACTTCAGTTTGTACAAATTTATCTTCTTTTTTCAAGTTTCCGCATTTGTGAGCAATGTCCAACATCTCTCTTAGGCCCTGAAATATACAACAACTTAATAAACGGTAAGTGAAAAATACTGCATCGTCGAAAGTCGAAAAGATGCACGTGAATGCAATAACTTTAATATTAGAATGAATGTCTATCTTTCAAACGGAACAGAAATAGAGCATATTATATATCGGCAACAGCGCTACTGCGCAACTGCGTTGTTTTTGCTAGGCAGATATATTTCGAGGATATGTGAAGCATGTGCACACCCACACACTTTGTACATCTAATCTCATTCATTGTCATTCAACTGTCACTTTCATAAAATAAAATGGAACTTTATCAAAGAAATTTGATAATTACAAGTTGAAAGAATTGCACACCCACACAATTTGTACATCTTGTGACGTCCTCTCGTAGGAGTCACTATCCGGGTAGCTTTTAGACAGTCAGAGACAGAGTTCAAAATAAAAATAAAACTTTATTGTCTTCCTTAAATTAAATTGACAAAAATCTTATGTACATATTTACAATTTAGTTTAGTCTTCTCAGTACCTGGCCTATTTATTCAAATTAGGTTTGACCTTGTCGTATGAAAATAGTCTTATCGGCAAGCGAGTGTGTTTTTGAAATTTTACGTGAACGTTGTATCGATTTAATAACAGCGGACGATAGGTACAACGAAAGGAAAGGAACTCAACACGTCCCTTAAGTGATTCGGGTTAATAGGACACTCCTCGACAGTCTCAACACGACTGCTTCGGAGTACGGGTAATGAAGAGCTCAACACGCTCTTCGGGTACGGCGGTATGGAACGGAATAACTTGTGAACTCAACACGTCAACAAGCCGGGGAAGGGAAGAAGAGAACCTTCAGTCAACACCTGTCGATTCTGCCTCTATGAGGAAATGTTGCGGTTTATATAGCGGAGCTTGGTAATTAGTTTTGCCCTTTCTACTGTCGATACACTCCTACTTCATGGGTTGGTTCGCGCGCACGCTGGTTTAACGGTGATGGCTTGGACTCATCGTTACACCCCCTCTTCCTGAGAAAAAAAAAATTTTGGAACAAAATTTTTTTATTTTTATTCCTTGCCAGGTACTTGGTTACCCTAAAAAAAATTACAATACATCGAAATAAAAAATGTCCGCCCTAAAAAAAAATAAATATCGTCTTCTTAAAAAAATCGTCTTCCTCTCTCTTAAAAAAAAAAAAACGTCTTCCTTCGTGGGGCTTCAATTATTGGTTTTTATCCTCAGCACCCGGTTCGGGAGTCTCAGTCTGTATTTTTTTCCTTTATGCTGCGGCGGAATTAGTGAGAGCAGCGGGATTGACACTGGAATTGACTGGGCTTTCTGAATTTTTGTGATGCCCATGGTTGGTTCATCGAAAAGGTTTTTAAATTTGGAAATAGCCTTTATCAGGGGCTCGCAGCCTTTGCCGGGGTGTTAGGTTTTGGTGTGTTCCCCAATGGTGATATTAACTCTGGAACGGTGTATGGTGGCGGCGTAACTGTGCCGTCCATTTCTATGTCACTGTAATATATTTCTAACGTGTCTGACATTATATTTGAAGGTTACTGGTAAACTGTATTAAAATATACTGTCACTACTTGGTGTTGACTGTAAGTGCTTGGACTGATTAAGGAGTAGGAAAATCGGTAAATGCGGGTTTTAGGTCTTTGATATGAGCTGTTATTGTACGGTTTTTATCGTCGTGTTTTAATTTGAATATTACATTAGAACACACTTTTGTTATAGTATATGGGCCTGAAAATTTCGGTGCTAATTTGGCGTTAAAATTTTTGGCGGCATTTGAGAGTTGGTATTCCCTTTTCATGACTTTGTCGTTTATTGTGGGTTTCCACTCTCTTCGTCGTAGGTTGTAGTAATGGCTTTGAGTTGTAAAAGCTTTTGCCAGGTTTGTACGTACTAGTTCGAATGTTTCTCGTAGTTTATGCCATTTTATGTTTTGATCGGTATGTTGTGTGTCGTTTGGGGTTTTTACGACTTTACTTGGAATTTCTAGTTCGTGTCCAGAGTTCAGGAAGGCTGGGGAGAAACCCGTTGAATCGTGTTTAGCTGTATTATATGCGAATAGTAGTTCTGGAAGGCTCGTGTCCCATTTCTTATGGTTATTAGCGCAGAACTGAGCTATAATTGTTTTGATTACTCTGTTTGTTCTTTCTACTGGATTATTCTGGGGTGAATATGGCGGAATGTTTCTTTTAGAAATCTGGAATTCGTCTAGCAACTTTCGTACTTCCCTGTTATCGTATGTTCTTGCGTTGTGTGATATTAGCTCTTTGGGTGATCCGAATCTCATAATGATTTTATCTTTTAAGTTCTGACAGACTGATTTTGCCGTTGCTGTTCTGATCGGTATGGCTTCGACCCATTTTGAAAAGGTGTCCTGGAATGTCATTATATATTTGTTTCCTTTGCTGGATGTTGGAAGGGGTCCTATGATGTCGGTTGAAACGGTGTGCCATGGATGTGGGGGAATTTGTGTAGATTGCATGCGGCCTGGAGTTAAGCTTTGTTGCGGCTTAAATTGCTGACAGTTCTTGCAGTTCCTGACGAACTTTGCGGCGTCTTTAAACATCCCTGGCCAGTAGTATTTTCTAGCTAGGCGGGTTATTGTTTTAGCTATTCCTAGATGTCCTGCGGTCGGTTGCTCGTGGTTTTCTGCCAGGAGTTGTTGTCTCTTGTGGTTTGGGATGCATAGTTTCCAGGGGTTGGATACCTCTGTCTCTTTTAAATCGTATTTGTCCCAGAAGTGTCGATAGAGAAGTCCATCTTTGATAGAGTAGTCTGGAAATAGTTGCGGATTTGTCTGGATTTTATTTAAAGCTTTATTGTACCATTCGTCGGGTTCTACATCTTCTACGTTTATTATGCAAACCAGATCTACTGGTTCTCTAGAGAGCGCGTCGGCCAGGACGTTCTGGGAGCCCTTTCTGTAAATGACATCGAAGTCAAATTGTTGCAGCAGCATTGCCCATCTAGCTATTCTACCTGTAGGGTTTTCCATTGTTTGTAAGTATCGTAGACTTTGATGATCTGTGATAATTGAAAATGGGTATCCTTCGATGTAGGGTTTCATCTTTTCTACACCGAAGATGATCGCTAGTAGTTCTTTTTCTGTCACGCTGTAATTTTTTTCGGCATTTGTTAGGTTTCGACTTGCGTAAGCGATGACTTGTTCCTGTCCTTCGTCGTTTATTTGTACTAAAGCTACTCCTAAACCGTGGTTCGAAGCGTCCGATTGTAAAAAAAATCCTGGAAGTCCGGCAGATCAGTATTGGAGCTTGTGTCAGTAGTAATTTTATTTTGTTAAATGCTTCCTCTTGGTCTCTGTCCCAAGTCCAATGTTGTTTTTTCTTTAGTAGCTTTGTTAAAGGGGCTGTAGTTCGTGAAAAATCTTTTATAAATCTCCTATACCATGAGATGATGCCCAAAAATCGGCGTAGTTGTTTAACGGTTTTTGGCGCGGGATATTCGACTATAGCTTTTGTCTTGTTTCGTCCACTTTTATTCCCGTTTTGTTTACTACATGGCCTAAATAATTTATCTCTTCTTTGGAGAATTTACATTTGTCTATATTAATTCGTAGTTTGGCCTGCTGTAGTCTGTGAAGTACTTCTTTTAAGTTTTCCATATGTTCCTCGAACGTTTTCCCCAGTACTATTATGTCGTCTAAATAGGCGAATGCATGTGGTTCCATTTCTGGGCCGATTATTGTATCTAGTAATCGTTGAAAAGTAGCGGAGGCGGCGTGTAATCCGAATGGAAGTACTTTGAACTGGAATAGTCCTTTTCCTGGTGCTATGAAAGCGGTCAAGGGTTTGCTTGCTTCGGAAAGTGGTACTTGCCAATATCCATTTTTTAGATCTAACGTGGTAAAATATTTTGCAGATTTTAACTTTTCTAGGATATTATTGATGTACGGTAATGGGTAGGCATCTTTTTCTGAGATGTCGTTGATTTTCCTAAAATCGATGCAAAATCTGTATCCGTTGTTATCCTTCTTTTTTACTAGGACGATGGGGGAACTGTACGGGCTATTAGATTTTTCTATCACGTTCTCTTCTAGCATCTTATCTATCTCATCGTTTATGATCTTCTGCATTGCCGGGTTTCGGGGCCTGTATCTTTGTTTGATCGGTGTATTATGTTTGAGTTTTATTGTATGTTCGGTTAGATGTATTGTTCCTTTAATTTGTTTAAATTTCTCCAATTCTGTTAGTAACAATTCCTGTAATTGTTTTTTTTTTCGGTATTGTTTAGTGTAGTACTGATGTCGAGCTGCTCTCGTTTCGGACTGTTCGTGAATTCCGGTATGTATGACGGAATGTCTTCGGTCTGGTCGTCGGCCGCGGTATCGGTCGGTAGTTCGGTATATCTTCGGTCTGGTTGTCGACCGCGGTATCGGTCGGTAGTCGGTATATTTTCGGTCTGGTCTTCGACCGCGGTATCGGTCGGTAGTCGGTAGGTCGTTTTGTTATATATCTTGCTTCTCTGTTGGAGCGGATATCTTGCGGTTGGTGTTTCGTTGACCCTGGAATTGGTCGGTATTCGGTTGTTGTCTGCATTGTACGATCTGGATCTGTGTTCTGTTCTGGTTTGGTATTGTTTTCTCCTTCTTACGCGATTTCTATTTAAGATGTTTGATAAATCAAGGCCCCATCTTGTTATTTCATGCATTCCCAGTACTACTTCTGAAGCTAGGTTTGGTAAAAAATGTAGCTTGGCTTTTCTCCAAACGTTGTCTATGGAACATTTTGCTGTAAAACAGATTTCTATGTTGCTGGTTTTTCCATCTGCCAACGTGATCTTAAAAACTTTTCTGTCGCTTTTTGTTCCACATTGTTCCAATATTTTTTTACCTTTTTGTCCTATAAACGAATTTTGGGCTCCTGTGTCTATTAGTGCTCTTAACTTTTTACCGTTGCTGAACGTTATCGTTGTGTGGGGTCGTTGATCTGTATAGTGTGCGTAGCTGGAGGTTGTTAGGGAGGACTCTAAATGCTGAATGGGTTGCCTCC